GCTCTTGATTACCAGCTAGTCAAAGCACTAGTCTACAAGTAAAAATTTGGGTATCTCTATATCCTTGAATATTGTGCCTTTTATGTTTTGTGTTTAAATTTTAATGTGACTCTTTGTACTCATCCAATTTGTTTTTTGTGCACTTTTTCCGAGCAGCAACGTTAACTACTGGCCGTATCCAAAATGACAACAGATTCAAAAAGTGATGCCATCAACAATATTGTCCACTTTTTTTTAATACTTTACCATTGGATTGTTGGTATAATCTTGACTTTGGTTCCTCGTTCACTTCGATATAAAGATGTCAAAGATCAAACCGTTCTTATTACCGGAGGTGGAAGTGGCTTGGGCCGTGCTTTAGCTTGCCGTTTTGCTGGCCTTGGTTGTCGCATTGTGATTTGGGATATTAACGCTGCTGGTATGAGTGAGACAGCAGCTCGAGTGAAGAAAATTGGTGCACCTGTGTTTACCTTTCAAGTCGACATTTCGGATCGACAGGCTGTCTATGAAACTGCAGCACGAACCAAACAAATTGCTGGTCCCATTTCAATGGTTATAAATAACGCAGGTAAGTTATGAATAAATGCTGAATTTCGTCAATTCAAATGCATGATATCATCGTTTAATCAGAGTCAGTGTCCAAGTGAAGTAAGCATTAGTTGATAAGATGAATCAGAAAATCATTCAACTATAAAGTTAAAAGATAAATTCATCAGTCTTGCTTCGTCGAATAGTGCTAATACTGCTAATTGTACACTTATTCAACACTTATCCAATCATTCGATCATCGGCTATTCAAAGCATTGAATGTGATATCTTTTCAAATTATTCAAAAGCTTGTTAGGTAATATTCAATTAACAAAGTTATCTTTATTAGGAAGTAAAGATTTATTTTTTCTTGTGTATTTAGAGGCGATTTGGTTAAGTTCATTGTTATTTTCCGTTTTCAGAATCCTTTATCAGTCAATGTCTTGGTTATTGTTTTGTAATCAAATTTTGATAACAATCTCATAATAATTAAAACAGTGATGAAAATCATGATTAGGAAATTAAAATTGCAATTTTATTCCAATGCTATGACAAATGCTTATGGCGTTGTTATGACTGCTTAAGGTAATTTATTTCAAGCCTTCATGTCATACGATTAATCTGTACTCCTTGATTATTGTTGCTCTTTCCTTGATTTCTAATGTTACTCAATCTCTTTCTACATGATGATTAAATTGCGCTGCTAATAACAGAAATCGCTACAAAGTTAAATCTTTGTGATTTAAAAGCAAAACAAAACTCTCAAGTTGATTAGTCTGTAAACCTTGAGAATAAGAAAAATTTATACTTTAAATTGATTCAGTTGATATTAATTTGAATTTTTGTATCAATTCTTTTAGGTATTGTAACTGGTAAACGTTTCATCGATCTGAAAGATGAAGACATTGATAAAACAATGGCTGTCAACTGTACCTCCAATTTTTGGATAATCAAATCATTTTTACCGGATATGATGAAAGTCAATAAAGGACACATTGTAACCATTTCAAGTGTTGCTGGACTCAGCGGTGGACCTCGATTAGCCGATTATTGTGCCTCCAAATTTGGCTCTTGCGGAATCGACGAGTCTTTACGTTATGAGATGAAAACTGAGGGTTATGATGGAATCCATTGTACAGTCGTTTGTCCATGGTTCATCAACACTGGAATGTTTGATGGAGTCAAGACTAAATACATGGGCCTATTGGAACAAGATTATGTTGCCGATGAAATTGTCTCTGGTATTCTGGTTAACCAAGAAATCATTGTTGTCCCGAGATTAATTTACTTCTTATTGTTCATCAAATCATTTTTACCCACCCAATCATCCTACTACATTATCAAATTAATTGGTGGTGATACGGCAATGATGACTTTCCATGGCAGACATAATAAAGTTAAACAAGGTTAACTAACAAATTGATCTCTCTCCCTTTTCAACCTATTACTCTTGTTTTTGGTCCTGATGTCTTTTTGGTTGCCAGCAACAGGGAAACCTAAATTATTATTTCTGTGTGTTTCCACCCAATTGTTTCTATCTTCAACTTTTAATATCGTTAATTGTACAAAGAACTGGTTATGATAATGATTATGATGATAATGATAAAATTTGATAAGCGATGGACTTCGATTAACTTGGCTACCTCATTTCCAGTTTTGTTTTTTTCTGTTTCTCATTTCCACGATGAATTTATTATAATATTTAAAGAAAATTGATGTTCACAGATCAAGAATGAGTCGAAAAGCAAATCTACTAAATGGTAGCTTCGGAGTGAATTCAATTCAAATCATGTATTAAGCTAAAATCATAAGCTAATGTTTTGTTTTGTGTATAAATCATTTTTGTGAATAAACAGTTTGGTTTATATTATGTGAAATTTATTCAATTTATAAGGTTATTAACTCAAATGAAATACATAATAACCATTACATTTGTCCATGTGTCCAGATTGTTCCTCCATCCGATTCTAATCATATGTAAAGTTTGAAATACTGCAACTAACATATGTAAACATCGATTTACGAGAATCAATTTAATTTGCATGTATTGTACTTGGTATAATTAGTGTCCACGAGGTTAGATAATGTTGCGGTTGATAAAGAAATGAAAAATTTCAATGAATCCAGGCGTAAAAAATTCCTTATAACCTGTTGCCATCGCTTATGAAACTAAATAATTGAGATGTAATGGAAAGATAGGCTTAAATCAAGATTAGGCTTAAATTTTTGAAGCCAATGAGAGTTTTTACATGCTTGATTGTAATCAGTTTTACAAAATTAATCGACTGCACATAAAATGAGTCAACAATGATGAGATAATATCTAGAGCAACAGATAACCATGAATTTCTGGAATATAAAAGAGACGACAAGCTCCTTTCTCGAAATTTCAATGTAACTGTGCCACTGGAAATCATAGAATCAGTCAAGATGAAGTTTATTTCAGTTTCTTTGCTACTTTCAACTTGTGTAGCCTTGTGCTTATCCAGCGCGATCCCTGAATCTTTGAGTTTAGCCAAATCATCATCAAATATCCACGCAGTTTTAGTTGCTGGTTCAAATGGATTTGAAAATTATCGTCACCAAGCTGATGTTTGCCATGCATACCAGGTGCTTCGAAGTCATGGAGTGCCCAGTGAAAACATTATTGTTATGATGTATGATGACATTGCTAATAACAAAGAAAATCCTTATCCTGGTCGAATATTTAATGTACCGAACGGAACAGATGTTTACCAAGGAGTTTCAAAGGATTACACTGGTCCTGAAGTGAACTCGGAAAATTTCATGAAAGTCTTGAAAGGAGATAAAGAGCTTGCAGCCAAAGGTAAAAAAGTGTTGCAGACAGGACCTGATGACCACGTTTTCATCTACTTCGCTGACCATGGAGGAACTGGAATTATTTGCTTTCCAAGTGACTCTTTGACCTCACAAGATTTGAATGAAACCTTGACTTATATGCACCAAAACAAAATGTATGGTAAATTAACATTTTACTTGGAGTCTTGTGAATCAGGCTCTATGTTTAACAACATCTTATCGGATGAACTAAATGTTTATGCCACAACAGCTGCCAATCCGTTTGAGTCAAGTTATGGTTGTTTTTGTGACCAGCCAGATATTTATACTTGTCTTGGTGATGAATACTCGGTTGCTTGGATTTTAGACTCAGAAGGAAATGTTATTTCAAAGGAACCTCTTGAAACACAATTCCAACATGTTACTAAAACTGTAAAAAACTCGTCTCCCCAAGAGTATGGTGATAAAACGTTGGCCAATTTGGATGTAGGCGAATTTCAAGGGGAAAGCCAGTCATCAATTGATGCGTTCGTTAAACATGTCAAGGTTACAGGTCAATATAATAGCAGAGATATTCCATTATTTAATTTAAAACGAAAACTGGCCTCCAATCTTAGCTCTAATGAAACTTCAGAGGCACAATCTAAATTACTTAATGTAATATCTGGTAGAAGATTTTATGATAGAGCGATTCGTAATGTTATTGATGAACTTTGCACAAAAGGTTTTTGTTCCCATGCTGCTGATGTTTTATCGATTCGATCTCCTCTCATTGATCATAACAGTTATTCAAAGATTGTTAAGCAGTTCAACGCAAGCTGTTTGAACGTTGCTATACACTATTATGGTTTGAAGTACATGTATGCTTTTGCTAACATCGTTGAATCAAACAACTTTGACCCGGCCAGTCTGGAGAAATTTCAACATTATCTAGAAAAGGCCTGTTTAAATCATGTTGTTGCCCATGGTTATGATGCCATTATATGAACATAACTGTACAATAAATTTACTGTATTTCCTTGTTAATATCTTTATGTTGTCCATTAAATATATACTTAATCACCTTAAATTCTTGATTTATTTATTTGTCAGTATGTAGACTTGAAGTGAATCCACAGATTGTTTGAGTGATATGTCAGGCTATTTTGAAAGGCACAAAATGTAAAGGGTGTCTGTCTAACTATGATCAGACCAAAGAGTAAGAAGAGAGTTAACTTCAATGGAAAAATAGGCATCACAAAAAGTTGAAAAAGTCCCCCCCTAGATGGCGCTGAAAT